GTGGCAGACTGGGAGTATTTAAAAGAGCCAGTGTAGCCCTGCTGTAAGCTCAGACACTCCGCCGCTCACTTTGGGTGAGCGTCTGTCTGAAACAGGAAGCGATACCCAACTATCCCTCCATTTTGTTTGATTTGCCTGTTTTGATGGTGACTTTGAATTTTGCTGCAGAGACAGACGTGTTGGATTTAAAAGGTTACTTAGCAAAAAAGACCATGGAGAACAAGACAAGTCCAATGACGCAAGTCAAGATGCAGCTGGGGCCGCCACTTGCTGCCATCTACTTGGTCATCTTCATCCTGGGGTTATTCGGTAACGGACTGGTCATCATCATCTCAAAGTTTAAATCCAAGCAGGGAGGTGCTAACAGTTACATCAGACACCTGGCCTCGGCAGACTTGCTGTTTGTGCTGACGTTGCCACTGTGGGCAACAGAAGCTTTTCTTCATTATCACTGGCCATTTGGATGGTTCCTCTGTAAGGTCAGCAGCTCCATAGTACAACTCAGTATGTATGCCAGCATCTTTCTCCTCACCTACATGAGCTTTGACCGCTACTTGGCCATCGTGTGGCGAGTACCCAGCAGCCAGCGGTACTCACAGAAGACCATGCTGGTCTCGCTGTGGTCCATCTGGCTTTTGTCCTTCCTCCTGACTACACCCACAGCACTCTTCCGCACCACACAGACTACGCACGAGAATAAGACATCTTGTAATATGAACTTTAGCCTTGTGGTGTCAGCACCAGAGCAGGCCAATGCCTGGGCTGCTGGCTTGTATCTCATGCGCATAGTGATGGGATTCCTCTTGCCTTTCATGGGCATCACAATCTGCTACTGTTTCATTGGCCGAGCCTTAAATCACCACTTTAGTGCTGTGCACCAGGAGGAGCAGCGGCGTCGGCGGCTGCTGAAGATCATCAGCATACTGGTTGTGGTGTTCTCCCTCTGCTGGGCACCTTTCCATGTGATAAATACTTTTTATGTCCTAATGCTTCAGCAGCATTTACCTGACAGAATCTCAAGCTTTATTTTTCCAGCATTTTACTTAACCACCTGCCTGGCCTATGTCAACAGCTGCCTCAACCCCTTCCTCTACGCCTTCTTTGACTTGCGCTTCCGCACCAAGTGCCTTAAGCTCCTCCGCCTAAAGAAGTATACAGAGGGTTCTGCAAGCTCCCAGTCCATGCAGACCCCGAGCTCTGAACACTGACCTTGTTTCCTGTGGAAGCACATCTCTCTCTGAAAGGAGGAACTAGGTCCACGGACTGGGAAATGCAGTTTAGTTTCTTTCAAAGGTCTGTACTTATATAATGTGTTTGCATGTATTAATCACGCAGAGAGCAAATGGAAGCAGCAGCGTTCCCATTGTAATAATTCGTAAAAGAAGCCTGTAGAGTATGAATTACAGTGGGAAGATGGTCTACAGAATGCAGCTTCAAGAGATTGTGTGCTTTTCCTTTGTTACTTTGTATCTTTAGCACAAATATTAAAGCAGAGCATGGATTGTATTATTTTGTCTTGTCCTAAGTGGAAGTTGCACTTAGCTTGTGGCTTGGTTACCTTGGGTGAGGGGTTTGTGAATTCATTAATAAAATCACCTTGAACAAATGTGTCAAGTGTGTTGTATATAATCATATAAACATCTCAGACATTAAAACGATCAAGCAAGGAAATCGAAAGGTGTAATATTATGATGGAGAATGTGGAAATGTTTTTTTATTTGTTGTTTGTTTGAAATAAATAAAAAATGAATGAATGAATGAATGAATGAATGAAAAAAGCGAAACTCTCAGCAAAAAACAAAACAAAACTCGGACTCCCTAAGACCATTTTGACTGCATTGTCATTGCTTTGAGGCTCAGCTGTACTGAACATTCTTTCAGAGCTTTTACTTGTACAAATGCACATGTGTTTTCTTGCTAGTTTGGCTATAAAAAGAAACACTGGTTACCATGTCACCACATCAGAAGATCTGAGGAAGGATCGAATGCGTCTTCCCGGAGGTGCTTTGTCATCTTAGCATCTTTGACATCATCCATGACCTCTGTACCATTCATGTTGACCCGCTACCTTGGGTCCAAGACGGTGGCCTTTCTCAGAAGCTCTCGAATTGCAGGTGGCTTGTAGATCAAGACCACCACACATGTTGTTCTTGATGTTTTCTGTGAGAATGGTGTTCTTGAGATCTGGGGATCAGATTCCTCCTTTGACACTCACTCACCACATTGCACAACAATGTCTCATGGAGCCACAGGTTGTACTTTCTGGGCTTATGGTAGAGGACACCACTGAGGGATAGCAGGAAAGACTTCTTGTAAGTTGTATATAGTTCCCTCTTGTAGGTTGTCAAGGTACAATACACCTCACAGCACGCCTGGGGAATGAGGGCCACCAGCCTCAGTGTGATACATCCAAAGTTGGTGGGAGTATTGCGAAATCCAAGTAGCATCACACTAAACTACCAAAGCCCCTATTTAATGTTAAAGGCTATCTCAGGCTTTTCCGCTTGTGCTTTACCACACACCAGTACCCACTGCGGAGACCAGGAGAGTTAAACCAGCTTAACCTAGAAAGGTAGTCACTGACATTACTAATGCTGGCCAGAAAGTAGGGGTCCCTCCAGATGATGGCATCAAGCCATTGATAGTCCATGCAGGACCGCCAGAAGTAGTCATTCTTATGGGTAAGGACTACTGGAGCTACCTATAGAGTATCCAGTGGTTCTATAACACCTTCCTCTGCCTTCACTGGGTTTGTCTGCTTGGCTATTGCAAAAGCTAACTCCTGGCATTGCAACCAAATGGGTTGGACATCACTGGCGTCAACGGAAAGCTGCAGTTTCTATCAAGGAAATCGCCATCAACAGCTAATACTATGTTGGCAAAAGGAACAGGCTTGAGTGTCGTTGCTCCAAAAGCAAGGAATCGAGTGTACTCTGTGTAAGATTGGGATGGTGGGGATAGCTGGACACCCTCCACAGTCCCAACACCCCCCCCCCCCGGGGTGATGAGGGACACACCTCTGCTACTTACTCTGTTAGTGAGAATGGGAATTCGGTGTGCTTAAATGTAGCTTTTATGTAAAATATAAACACTTAGGTTCCTGATTCACAAAGAACTGAGCACTCAGGGAAAAGGTCCCATATAGGATTGTAATAAAGTGCCTTTGTTGTTTGATATTCTGCTGCAACTTGTGAAAACTACAGAGTTAACTTAGACATCTCTGGCTTATTGTCTGTAAAATTAAAAGGTAACAGACACTTTTAGAGTGGAAATAAAATGATAGAGTGGAAATAAAATGATAATCAGCAGTTTCTGTTTTGTGGTAGTGTAACATTTTAAAAACAATTTTGCTTTTACATATTTTGTTCATCTGGCTTTACTGGGGATTTCTTTCTTGAGTTACTAAGAATATACCAGATAACCAGTATCACCTCATGATGGAATGACATCAGACTGACCTCTTAATGTTCCTGCGTGCAGCACTAGGCACTTCCTGTTAGAGTCACATTACAGGAAGTGACCCTGGTTGATAACCCTCAGCCATAGCAGTCTGCGGGTTAGGGACAAGGTCAGGGTCAGCTCTGAAGTTTTCCTGATAAAGTGATATCTTATTTTAATA